TAGATATATGTATATATTAATATATAAGTAGTTGTGTGTGATATGATAAACCATAAATAATAATTTAATTTTTAGTTTTGGAAAGTTGTCTCTATATGCACATGATATTGAGGGTATCTATTTATATTTAGGCACATATAGGCAATACTGTAAAATTAAAATTTTCATTTCATCATAGTGATATCAGGAAATTAGTTCCAAATTAAACGGTTTTACGTAAGTAGAGTTTTATAGATATCAAATTTTAATACCGTAGGCATACATGCGTACAAACATATTTTCTATTTTATTTTTTTAATTTAATTTTTTTTATTGATTTTATTGGGAAAAATTTTGAGAAAAAATTTTTAAATGGGAAAACGTAAGTGAAATTAATGAAAATAGTATTTTATTCATTTTTCAAATTTTAATTTGTTGTTTAAATATACAAAACCATGCATATTGTGTATATTTTGTATACGAAAACACATGTACATATTTAAATATATTGAACAAATTTCTAAACGATTGTGAGTTTTACGAATAAGCCAATGTCGTTATTTAATTGCTTCAACTATTTAACAAATATTGCAATGCTTTTATTCAAAGTTTTTACTCACATTTCCAAATAATGTTCTGAAAACTTCTCAAATTTTCAAAAAAATTAAAACGTTCTACGGAAATAATTAATTTATTACACAATAGTTTTGCATAATTTTAGGAGAAACGTTAAGTTTAAAAAATACGCTACAAGCTTATATAGATTGAATCAGGTTAATGACTATACATACTTATTATACGAAGTAAGGGCACACTTTTGTATAAGAGTGCCTCACTCTTTTAGTGTCATATTCCTTTTTTTCTTATATAAGTTCGTTGTTGCAGAAGCTTATACTGTAGAAGAAATAGAGAATAGATAGATTTTGGACGATGGAGAGACAATAAAGAAATTGTGAATAACACAAATGAATTTTGCTCTAATGAAATTAAATATTTCCTGATTTGCCATGGTTAGATAAAAAAATTAACGATAATATGCAGGGTCAACTAAGCAGCCTAACATTTTTTTACAGTTTTTAAAGAAAGAAATAATAAATTTTTAACCTTCTGTGTATACAAAATTTACAAATTGTCTTATATATTCTATACGCCTTAATTTTAACGTATCTCTCCCCATTACCCGTAACATACAGCACAATAAATTTCGCCTACTTACCTGGTTTTAGTAAAAGAATGTTTTACCTAAGATTTTGCCGCCTTTTCAGATTTCTTTCAAATATAAGAGCATACGGACAGATAATATGAAATTAATTGGTATATTTTTTCAAAACTATTCTTTTGAGTAATCAATTCTCAAAAAATTCATTTCGTTTAAGAAAAATTTAAATTGATTTTATGCATTTTTCTTCTTATTTAATGAAATATTTTAAAACATTTAAATTAATTTTAAATCAAATTATATATGACTTATGGAACTGCCTTATACATACATACATATTCTTAACTTTCTTTTGCATAAAACACCTTGTTCACCTTGTTTTCAATTGTTATTATTATTATTAATCATACATAATATAAAATTAAAAAATAAATTATGTATAGTAGTTCCCCATGCATACATATTTATAATATGTTTAAATATTTTACATATCTCTAAACGCATGTACATTTTATGTATGTTAAATATGTATTTATGAGCATGTGCGTGTGTATGTACACCTAAAATATTTTGCTTTTTATAATATTGATTTCTCTTTCTATCCTCTTTTTTTTCTCTTTTACATAATATGAAATCATTTTTATCCCCTTAAGTTATTAATAAAAAAGCCAAGAAAATATTGGACATAAAGAAAAGACATGCATAGTTTATTTAATATAATTTTATATATATGTATGTACCTAAAGTGTAGTAAAATCCAAAAAAAAATACTTAACATTGTCTGCTTTTATAGCCTACAAATAATAAAAAAAGGGCCTCCTCCCATTTTTAGTATCTTTGACAAATGTTTCAACAAAAAAAAAAAAAAAATGATAGCAAAAGAGAGAAAAGATGAATAAAATTTTACCAAAATATAGTATGTATGTAGGTATATATGCATGTACATAAGTATGAATGTGTTTATGCGAATGTGTAATCATGTAATGTAAAATGTGTTTTCTTTTTTAATTTCATTTTATTATGCCTTTTGCCTTTTTTTGTTTTTATTGGGAAATTTTGAATATAACGCCACCGCACTTTAGGGAGTACTTAATGTAACATTCAATAGATACAGAAAATTTCATCCATCCATTACAAAAATAAATACAAAAAGAAAAAAACAACAACAATAAGAAAAATTAAAACGGAAACTACAAAAATTATACTTTTTACTTCAATCCAACCAGTGTTTCAATTTATTTACTTTTTCTACTTTTTTTTGTTTATTTATTTTTGTTTTCATAAAAGCTGGCATTAAAATATCCCCAATATGTACATACACCCGTACATGCCTATTTATTTTGATTATAAGTCCTCTGTCACTTCGAACATTTGGTTTTTTTGTTTTGTACTTAGATACCTACAAAAAAGGATCACCGAATTAATTAAAATAAAATTCTAATGAGCAAGAAATTATTAGTGACTCAACATTTTTTTTTGGCTTCTTAAATAAAAAATACAAAGGACAAAAATTATTAATGAATTTAAAGGCATAAAATTTTATTAATATTTTGGAAATTAGTCCCATAATATAAATTTCATTGTTCCGAATTTAATTCGTCGATAATTATTTAATTTTGAATGAATAAATGTCGCCTATATACGACAATTTTATAATGATTCAAATTAGATTCTTTTGCTTAAAAGTTTCCTTATTTATGCTTTGAATATTATTGTTATAATTTCAATGTAATCATCTGAATTTTATTTATCTTGTTTTTATATTGTAAGAATTAAAAAAAAAAATTTCGGCTAAAATAACTAAACTTTTTAATAATGTTGGCAAGCCTACAATAGCAATTCATTATACTACATACATATATACATATTATTATGGTTTTATTATGATTTTTCATTTGTTTTATTTTCATATCATTCTTTGTTACTTTGCTGATTTCATACCTTTACCAAAATAACTCTACACTGCTCTACAATATACCAAGGAGATAAATATACAAGTAACAAAAAAAAAAATGCAAAATCCCCCATTGCTCTCGTTCATTTTCATTTTTATTACAATTTTCCAATTTTCCTTTTGTGTTTCACTATATATTTTGTAGTTGCCAAAATTTGAAAAAAAAAAGATAAACAGAAAACCAGAGGAGAAAAAAGTTGTTGCTCATAAAAAGGCTAAAAGATTAAAGGAGATCTGCTATAATATCTCAAACCAAAATTAAAAACCCATATCCCCCCAAATAGAAGAAAAGAATAAAAATGTAATAAAAATAAACCAAAAAAATAAAAAAAAGGAAAGAAATATTTATCAAAAGGGGGACAGCAAAAATATTGAATGTTGTCAAAACAAAATTAAAAAAAAATGAAAATAAACAGAAAGAAATACAAGAGTAACGTAAAGAGTTCATAACAGATATCACTGCTACATTCATAATATGTTAAGACAGCTACTTACACAACACAACTACACCTAAAATAATATAATAAATGTTTGCTACAAATGCTACAAATACATTTAAATAAAGCGACAAATTTATGTATCTATTATCCAATATTCTAGTGTTTCTTTTGATTATAAAAATTATAAACAGATTTTTATTAAATATGTTTATACTGTTGCGTACATAGTTACATACATATTTATTTTGTTAAATAATGATTGTGTGGTGTGGCCAACGATTCGGTCACCTATAGCCACAGAAAAACAGAAAAATAATTTTTTACAAATTTCAAAGCAACAAAAATTCTTGCCATACACAATTTCAATAGCATTTTGTGTAACCAAAAATTTTTGCTGTATCCCTATTTATTAAATATTATGTAACAGCGCTGTAAATATAGCACATTAGCTGAATTTTTTTTTATCTATACTTTATCACAGGTAGTATGTGCGTTTGTGCGTTTAAGAAAATATTATTAAATATTTGTTAATTATTGATATTTATCTTTTTAAGCAAAACATTATTGCATTAATTATTTTGAAATTTTTAAAAATTTCCTAAATAAGACCCTGTAAAATCGGTCTGAATTGCCATATGAAAAGGAGTAGTGAAAATTTCAAATAATTTATATACCTAATACATATACATATACATAATATATAGAATTAAAAATCTTTATAATATACTAATTAAAATTAAAATTTCTACAATTTAGGTATTAAGTAATATTCTATTTTATTTTAACATTTCTTCATACATAATTTAATATTATTTCCATATATGTATGTACATAATTAAATATACTACGTTTACATACATATACAAATGACCATATATAAATTAAATTTTACTCCATTTATTAATTATAGAAAGTGCAATTTCTATTTACATTTATAATATAGCACAGTGTTGTAACATTATTGCCTTACCACATATTATAATTTTACTATTGCAGAAATAATGTATACACGTTTTTAGTAGTGTGACTTATCTATACAAATTCTTTAGATTTTTATTGTTATAGCAGTACTTATATCACTCAGTCACTACTTACTGTATATTTGTATCTGAAAGCAACGTGATTTTATTTTCCTGTTAAGAGATAACGTACTACAAAAGTAGAAAAAAAAAAGAAAAAGTAAAACAGTAAAAAAAATATAAGAGAGAGGACATGCTCACTCAAACTTGATTTTCCCTCAATTTTTATTCAATTTAATTTTCACTCAAATAAATATAAAAAATAGGGAATTTGTTTTAAAATTCTCTCTTCTCTTTTTCGTTTCTCTCAATTTTAATAAAAGAATATAGGTATACATTTTTCATAGGTAAGCAAATAAAAGAAAAACAAAAACAAAAAAATGAAAAAGCATAAAATAATTTTATTCCATATGTAAAAGAAAATTTTTATCTGACTTCACAGTTGTTGCTCTTCTTTAAACGTGAACGGTTCGAATTTATTTTCTCGGTTGGTTTTTTAATTATACCAGATATTTCTTTAATTTTGTTTCCATTAAATTTTCTTTTTTTGCATAAATTTTAATTGTTTTGTTTGTAATTGCAACTTTTTGAAACTTAATTTTTTTTCTATAAAAATAAAGGAGGCATTAATTGTGTAAAATTTTTGAAAAAAAAAAAGAAATCATAGTTATATAAAAATTAAAAAGAGATTTAAATGCAATTTTAATAATTGAAAAAAAAAAATATTAAATAATGAACAGAGTGTAATAAAAATTGAATTATAAGTGAAAAAAAATTTACATTGAATAAAAAAATTTTAAAAAGAAGAAAAAAAATATTTTTGCTAATATTTTTTTTTATTCCGCTATTTGATTGTGTGCTTTGAAATAAAAAAATTTTCAATCAAAAAGCTAATGAAATCCGGAAATAAAACATTTTCATTGAAAATAAATTAATTTTCTTGATCATTCAATTCAAGTGCAACCTTCGCTAAGGTATTGAGAATTTTTTTTTTTTGTGTATAACTGGCAAAAGAAAATATACATACATATTATATACTTAAAATTATATATACATAATAGAAAACAATAAGTATAAAATTTATACTAAAGAAAAAAAAAACTTTGAAATTTTTCAATATTGGTGAAGAATAAATATTTAAATTCAAAATTAATGTGTATGAAAAAAATTTAGAAAAAATTATAAGAGTACATACATACATACAAAAATAAAAGAAAATAAAATGAAAAAACCTTTTTTGCTGAAAATTTTAATAAAATTAATGTGATTTTTTTTTTCATTTTAAAAATAAAAATAAAATTTTGTGATTGATCTCCATGAAGGATTTTGTGATTGCCAAAAAAAGTATTATAAAAATAAATGGAATTTTCAAAAAATAAATTTTTTTAAATTTACATAAACGGTTTCATTACCTTAAAAGAAACACATTTTAAGTATATAAAAATATTTTAATAAAAAAATTTTATTTTAAATCATCGGAAATAGTCGCCGAACATCTACAACCGTAGTTAATAAAAAATTTTTAATAATTGCAAAGTGAACATTGAAAAAGTGTATATTAATAAAAAAAACAACAAAACAAAATCTAAATTTCAGTATTTTCATAAAAACAACAAAAAAGAAAAATGCATTTATGAAAAATTATTTTATTTAATCTTTAAAGAGGTGTAATTTTTTTTTTTTTGCTTCCCTCTTTCAATTTTTGCTAGTGAAATTTGATTTAAAATTGAAAAATAAATAAATTTAAAAAAAAAATATCAACTATAATTGTAAATTTTATTAATATACATAACACATACATATAAATGTTTCATCCATACGTTAAAATTAAGAAAAAAAATGCACAACATAGATGTTGTTGCTGTCCAAGTACACCAACAATACCACCAGCGATACCATCACCATCGACTTCACAATCGAATTCATGTAATTCAATTGGAATACAACAACATCAACAACAATATCAACCTCAACCACAACAATCCCAACATCATTTTCAACAATCTCAACAACAACAATCAAATCAATCACAACCAGCTTATGGTTTAATTGATCCTGGAACATCAAATTTATATAATCGTTTGAATAATTTACATAATATTAATATTACCACCAATAGTAATAATAATAACAATAATAATAATCTTGATAACAATAATAATAATACTAGTTGTCAAAATAATAAAAGCAACAATTCAAACAATAATAATAATAACATTAATAATAACAATAATAATAATAGTAATGGTGTTTTATCATTAAATGGTCAACCATCATCATTGAGTAGTCTATTAAATTCAACAAGTTCAAATTCAAATAATACTAATTCTAATAATAATAATAATAGTTTAGTGAATATTTTAAATAATAATAATAATAATAATAATAATTGTAATCAATTTTTAAATAATATTAGTAATAATAATAATTTAAGTGTTCAATCAATATTGAGTAATCGAAATTTAAGAATTACAAATACTATTTGTAGTAATAATAATAAAAGTAATAACAATTTATCATCATCTTCAACAGCATCGTCATCGTCAAATTCATCATCTTCTTTACTATCAAGTTTAAATAGTAATAATAATAATCATAATCATAATAATAATAGTAACAGTTCAAATAATGATAATAATATAAGCAACAATAATAATAATAATAATAATGGATTAAATATTTTATTAAATCAACAACAAGGTTGCAGTTCCAATAATAATAGTAATACTATTAATAACAATAATAATAATAATAATCAAATTCATAATAATAATCATAGTTGCTGTAATAATCATTTAATTAATAATAATAACGGTAATAATAATAATGGTAATAATAGTAATTCGTCTATGTGCCTCGTGTTATTAGTTAAATGTCCAAATTCAAAGGAATTGTGTACTGCAAATTTCTGTGATAAAAGGTAATAAAATAATTAAAAATTATTTTGAAAATATAGTTCGAAAAGAAAAATTTTAATTATTATTTAACATAAGTGAAAATAAATCAGTGTATAGTGATTAAAAATTGTTTACATAAATAATTTTTTTTGGATTTATCTGAAAATTATCAAATTAATTTTTAGGTTTAGTAATTAATTTAAACTGCAAAGCATCTGTATTGCTTTTTTATGCGATTAAGTAGTAAACTTCTAATTACTCAATCATTATTTATTGTTACAATTTGTTTAACAATTTTAAAAGACAGATATGCTCTTTTGAAATTAATAAAAGCGACAAAATTTTCAGCTTCGAAAACATCAACAATATTGTTCAAATTTAATATTTTTCAATGTAGTTACATACTTACATACTTTTCTTTTAAAAATATAAAAATCTGGCTTAGCAACTTGTATATATAATTCACCCCACGAAAGTGATTTTTAAATAAGAAAATAAGTTTTTATAACAAATAAACTAAGACCATATAACAATATAAGTTCATACACGCAATAATTTTGTAAAAAATTATATATATATAAAGTAGATCAAAAAATTGTCATTAAAGGGGCACTTTTCAGATTCTATATACAATCAGAGTTAGTTATATCCCCGTTTCTTTTTTTTTTTAGTAAACACCAAATGCATTGCATTGAATTCACCATAAAAAAAATAATAAAACTAACCTTAAATATTACAATGTAAACAATATTGAATAACCGTTGTCATTATGTGCGTTTATAAAATATGTACAATAAATTTATACATTACTGGGTATATTTAACGAATACTCTGTAATAATGTCAATCAACCCCCTATTTAAAACTCAGCATGAATTTATAAAATAAATACAAAATAATAATTTAAATTGACAATAGAACAAAATTTTCATCATATTACAAAAACAAAATTCAAAAAAACAAGTCAAATAAAATTACACAGAAAGAAAAAAATATAAAATAGAAGGGGGTCAAGAACCGTTTTTGAAATATAATTAAATATTATCATTGAAATTATTGTAACAATCAAACATCTCGGTATTTATAATAATTTTTATTTTTAGATTTTTATATTCAACCCAACTTATATGTAACTGGTATACATTTGTGGATATGAATTCAGGGTACTTCACATACCATACTTTCTTATTATATGAAACTAAAAAGTGTTAGATAATAAAATAAATGTAATAATTATCACTAGTGGGCTTTATACACATTGTATAATTGTATTCAGTTATAAATTATGTCTACATACAATGTAGGTTTATATACCTAAGTATATCTCGAAATATTCAGGGAATTCGACAACAACAGTATACTTATTTGCAAGATCTGTAACATTTTTTTAATTACTTGGATTCTTAATATTCTTTGCTTGAAACCAACAGTAATCAATTTGATCCAATTTGTGGTAAATCGTTATGAATTATCTTAAATTTACTTATGATCTGGTACGAAGTTATTAACAAACGCTATGATAACGAGACTAATAAAAAGCTATTCATAGAATGTTAATTGAATGTTATTTAATAATAAAGAATGAAATTTTTCAATTCAAAATGTAAAAACTTGTAATCTTTAATAAACAATATAATTTCTACCAAACGCTAGATAATGAAATTATTACCTAAAAAATAGCCACACATTCTTAAAAAAAATATAATCTAATTTTTAAAACTCCTTGTCATCCAACTGTGTTAACTTTACACGTAAATAATTTTTATTGAGGGGAAAATTGTATATTTTCCTACTACTTAAAATATACTTAATAAAATAATTGTAAGTATAACATTTTATATATATATGTACAAAACAGCTTTTTGAGAGTATCCTTAATGCCATCACCCTTATTAACTATCAAATATGAATATTTCCATTGTATATGTTTATCCACAAACTATTCAACTCTTATTCATTCATTGCGATTTCAGGGCATTTTAATATAATTTTCCAGTTACATTTATTCAAGTATATATATACATGTATGAATATATATAATAATATGATGTAATATTACTTTTCTCTATTATGCTCAAGTTTATATTTTATTTTTTCTATTTAAATTCTAAATAACACTTCTTTTTATATTAAAAAAAATTTATTTCAAAATTATTATCGTTACAGTTTGCATTTGACATACGTGTACATAAATAAAGTTATTATTATACATATTTGAATATATTTTTGAATTGTAAAGGAAAATTAAATTAGAATTGAGTTTGCATATTAAGTACAAGTATGAAGTAGCTATTTTTAAGTAATTGAGAATAATTGTCTAAAAATACCGATTTAATTTGCATATGTTTATATTAAATAAAATTAATTAAATTTATTTCGTTTCCTTTTTGGCGTTAATATGGAATGCATATATAGTTAGTATTTTATATTCTTTAGCTATAAAAATTTAAATACTTATTTGAGCTTATTAAGAGTAATTGAGAATATTATTTATACTTAATACCTACACGTAACAAATTATTATTGTAACCAGTTGTTATTCATTTCGAAAATCTCTTTATTACTTTCAAATTTTCTATATTCTAATAAAACTTTATTATATTTTATTTAATATATAAAATTTTCATAAACAATCATAATTAACTAGTTTATATTATTTATAATCATCTCATACATGAAATGATTTTGTAAAATTGAAATTGATATTTTAAAACCATCTAAAATTGCAGTAACTTTTACAAATTAAAAATGTTTTGCTCGTATTTTAGAAGAGAAATGAATTTAAACTCTCTTACAAATTTTATTATAAAATTTGGGTTTTTACAAATTTCTTTTTTACACGTTTTCACTCTTAAAAAATGTAAACTACATTATATAACAAATGTCTCTCAAACAAAAAAAACGAAAACAAAAATTGTTAGTTATTCAAGTAATTTTTAAAAGTTTCAAATAATTATTGTTATAATTTCATATACATATATATAATAGGTATGTATATAATTATAATACCTTTGAAAAATAAAAATTATTTTTGGTACAATAAATTTATATTCAAATTTATTATAATTAATTTAACTTATTTAATGCTTATGTACATATGATTGTATATTGATGGTAACTTTCATTATTACATATTCCCCTTTTATATTCAGTTAATTCCCCTTCTTACCTTTTTATCTCTATCTTTCTCTTTCATATAAATTATATTTAAAAAGCATCCCTCTACCACCATTATAGTTTTAACAAAATAATTAATGAGTTTTCATTTTGATATTGTGTAAAATAGTAATGGAAATAGTAACATGCAACTGCGCGTACATATTTTTTGTACTCAAAACTATTTTACCTCAATGTAATTTAAAATCGAAAAAGCAAGTAATAAAAAACACACTGTTGTAAAATCTATAATAAAAAAATCCATTGTAACAAATAAAATCAGGTACATATTTACATTTTTGTCGTAACACTATACAATATAACTATCACTTTTCTACTGTCATAAAACATAATGACGTCACATTAAAATGTGATATTTAAAAAACAAAAAAAAAATCCCAATTCCATTTGCTTTTTTCTTTTATAATTTACTTAGTCCAGTCGCCTGATAAAAACAATAAATAATAAAACCATTTTAATCCTAATCAAGTTTTAATCTATTGTAGGTTTTATAATCTTATTAAATTATTAGTTAGTTAATTTCATATATTATACACATGTACATATGTATGTATATATGTATAGAAATAAAATATTTATGGCACGTTATGTACTTTCAAAATATAAACAACAAAAACAATAGTTAATTGGCAAATAAGAGAAAAGAGAAAATAATGAAATTTCTGACTCAATCTGATGAAGCTTTTGTTTTTTGTTTTCTTTATTTTTGATTTTCTTTTCAATGTTGCATAACTTGCACAAAAAAAAAATACAAAATAATAACAAGAAGTGAAATAATAGTAAAAATAACAATACTAATGAACAAAGAGAAAAGGTACACACATACAAACAAACTATCATGGGAAAAAGTTAATCTCCAGAAACAATAAGAAAAATAAAAACAAACAAAAATCAATAGGTGATATTTTTAATCGTAGTTTTATATTATCGGATAGTAGCATGACAATTGATATTTTTACTATCCAACAAAAATATATGTTTGGATATACAAACTTACGCACATATGTACATTAAATTTATGCTAGTATGAAGTTTTATAATGTAGGCTTATTATATTCATAAAATAATGTGTATAAGAGTAAAATATCCGTAAGGCTTGCCGCTACACTATTAAAATTTAAATAATAATGTGAGTGTTTAACACTTTTGTGTAATTATGTAAATTTAATATTTAATTTTGATTTAGTATTTAATATCTTTTATCTTTAGTAAACCAACAGCAAAATAAATTGTAAGCTTTTAAAGATTTAATCTGTATTCGGTAATCTGAGAAAGACTTAAAAAAGTACACATTTTCTAAAACGATGGCCTTTTGAATAGCCAGGGAAAAAAACTGAACGTGTCGAATAGACTTTCATAAAAATTTTTAAAGTACACAATTAAAAAATTGGAGCTATTTCTTCCATTTATTAATGGTTTCGACTGATTTGTATTGGTTTAAACGGTCATCGAAAAAAAATATGAGCTAAATGATACAATTAATTATATAATGGCAACCCTAACTTTTATATGGCTATTTTGTAAAGATAAAATATTAGTAAATTTCATATTTATTATTGTTATCGCTTTTTCTTTTGTTTTTTACTAACAGACAATTTTTTTTCCGAAATGAAAATTAGAAATTTCGAAGAAGAAATTTTTAACCCAAAAAAAAAAAATAAAAATAAGAAAATAAAATGAAATTGAACAAATTCAATTGGAAGAGATGAGAAAATAGTTACAGTGAAAAAAAAACGTGTTATTTTATATGGTGCAGAAAAAAAGTAAATGAAAATTTAAGTAAAAGGAGACAACAAGAAGAAAGTCATGTTATGATATTGATATCGCGAGTGCGGCGGCGAAATGTA